GAAAGAGGGCAATCGGGCATGCCCAAATGGGGGCAGGGTTCGTCAGGAAAGGCCACACTAAATTTAGCGCCACCTTTTCATTCTCTAATTATGAGATTAATGCATCCTGCCACAAACGTCACAATACTACCTGGTGATTTATTAGCCAGTGGAGCAGATGGAGAGATCAAGCCGGTGGGAGGAAATTCAAGAGCGTGATCGTCTGAAAGCACCGAATCAGCATGAACGTGTGTTTGGGCAGTGAAAAGAGCTGGATTCTGTCGACAGACTCTTTAATTAGAGAGAAAAACACTGAATGGGCTCTTCTCATATCTGTAGAGCGCTGAACTATTGTGACCCTTGGGCTTTAAGGTTTAAAATCAACCCTAAAATAGATCTAATTCCACCTATGTGTGTATTAATCCATCTCTCATTGGATGTGGCCATCGGGCACTGCTGTGGGAATTTACAAGCCTCCCGATTGCGCTGCCCGAGTTTCCAGACGGGCGTTTTACGAGGCAGCGCACATTGTGACAATAAATCTCTTCTTCCTCTTTGCCAAAATGAAATCACCCACCGCTGCTGCCTATGACCATATTTGTTTGTCTCACCGAGCTCGTGCAGAAGAATATTGTCTCGGCTCTGCCAAGTTAACGTTCGAGTCTCTTTATTTTAATAGTGTCTGGAAGGGGCTATAAAAGTCTTCGCTCAATACTTGCTAATAAAGCTGGATGTAAGGAAACTTTGAAATCCCAGAGATGCGTTCACAAAACTCATTTAACGGCCTTAACACGCCTCTCCGTAATTAGAATTTAGCAGGAAATGAAGGAAAACACCAACAACGGCAACGAGAAGGAAATAACAATCAGAGCTGGAGAATGATGGAGGTAGTGGAGAGCGTTCGGAAGTGAAGCCGTTTTCCATTTTTATCTTTCTGCACTCGTCTAACGTCACGTTAATGCTGAACAAATACCTTTTAGAAAACCGTTTTCTTGTTTGTTTTTAAAGTGTGCAGACCAACGCAATTACATCTGAAGGCTTGCTCAACAACAATAATGCATTCATTAAAAAACCAGAACGTTAGCTTTAGCAGACAAATAGCTATCTGTGTGGTTTAGTCATATTTTAACATTTTTGAATAAACTCATTACTTTGCATGTTATACATGATAAATTCCTGTTATTGAATGGTGTTGCAAACTGAAGAAAGGTGTTTTTTATGTAATGAAAAACAATCACACAGTCATGTAAATGTGCAAAAATATTAAATTAAAGTAAAAAAAAAAAAAAAGCTGTTTTCATAAGCATGCGGCAAAAAAGGACACCAAACCTTGATGTTTTACATTTTAGGACAAAATTAGCAATTTTAAATATAATATCAAAATAAAGAAAAAGGTAAAAAGTTCAGCTCATCAAATCATGTGAACTGTTGGAGGTTTCTTCCTGTTAAAAGGGAGTTTTTTCCTCCACTGTCGCTACATGCTTGCTTAGCATGAGGACTGCTGTAACGTCTCTGACCACAACAAGTCCGTGACTTCCTCTGGGTTTCCTTATATAGGACCATTTTATTTAATCGGCACAATTGAGTGAACTGAATTGGAGTGTTTCCTTTGAGAAGTGCCTTGAGACGATTCTTGTCGTAATTTGGTGCTAAATGAAAAAAACTGAATTGAATTGAACGTTTGAGGAGTTTAGACGGTGAAATTCTAATTACAACTCAGATTAATGACCTTTACCCTGTAAGGACCATGGGGCCACATGAGCACCACAGTTAAACATGCTCCACAAAATATGGCCACTTTCTCAGTTTCTAATGTCGGTTGTGTCCACATTAGTGTAAATGGGCCTGATGGTAAAGAGCAGTTGTTGCAGGCTTTCTGCAGCTTTGAAGGCATCAAGAGTGGACATGTGCGGTCTGTCTGTCATTGGCAGATCAGAGATCTGCAAATCTAGGCTAAATGTTAGGTTTCCCTGTGAATCAAGGGTAAGTTAACTCTCTGGGATGCCCACTTCATTGGATGCCTTTGACTTGTAACATGGATCAAAATGGTTCAAGGGTATGCAACAACATCTGTGCAAAGTCCTGAAAGGGCTGAATCTGAATGGAGACACAACCGCTGAGAGGACCGGGACATCTTATCTCTCGCTCAATTTCCCCCTTCCAGAATTTCCCCGGAAGTTCCGGCAAAGGAAACATGCTTAATGAAGATGCTGTAAAAAAGCTACGACAACAAATTATTTGCGATTCCTACTGAAAATTATCTTATTGTCTCATAATTCTGGGGTTTCAGGTCATTTCTGGTGTCTTGTGATGTCATTTCTGGATTTTCCAGAACAGTAAAATATCAAAACCTTTCCTCTTATAGAGCCGCTCACTTTCAGAAGATCAGGTATGAAAGTGTCTTTAATTAGCAGCACCTGGCAGCTTCGCACCGTTTTAATTGCTATCATCAGGACTGGACATTTGACACACTGCTGCAGCGACTTAGCTCCTTTTTGTTGAGTAAATAACCTGTGCTGTTCCTCTGAAGGGTATTTCTTCCATCATGCAATGACTTGAGTTTATGGTGCAACTTCTTAAATAACGATGGTGACATTGATTCTGTGCATCAATAACGTGACGCGCGTTAAAATGGGTGTGCATGTGGTGCCAGCTGTGTTGAGACTAGCAGACACCAGACATCTATTGCAGGGATCACACTTTTTAAATTTGTTATCGACTCAGTTTTGTTTTCTTGCTCTTTCAAGAGATTTAAAAATAGCTCGTGTAGTTAGGCAACCTCAACTATATTTAGACCTAATTTAGATGCATTTTGTCTAATTTTCAGAGAGCTGAAACAAACGTGTAAATACAATCACCCGTCATGCTACGACCCATTGCCCCGTCGCCACTAACGGCACACTACCGCTGTTTACAGGAACCTGGAGGGTGATGATGACCGTCACCATGTCTCTGGGTCATTTATTTTGGTATTGAATCAGCAACGGGGCTTGTATTCATCCCACATGTGCCCTCATGCCCTGAAGGGGAACTCCTAAACTGACACCTGTCAGTCACGCTGCAGAGCTGCGCTGACAGGAGCGTAATGAGAGGTGGAGAGCGGCGCAGCGCCAACGAACAGGAGAGTGAAAAGAAGGCTTGAAATCATAAAGAAGGTAGATGAAAGCGGAGAGAGAAGGCGAGGTGGAGGAGAAGGAGAAGCGGGTGAAGGTGAGACTTTTGAAGATTGCCGGAGACGCAGGGAGATGAGAGCGGACCGACATGAAGCTCGGTGTTTAAGCGCGTCGCCGTCTTTTTGATTTGTTAGCATGACGCTTATGATGGGCTCCTCTGTCTGGCTCTATTATTAGACCCTCAGATCACTGTGTTGATGTTTTGACATTGGGCCTCCAGTTGCACCTGTTTCACGCTTCCTCACATGTGAAGGGTTCATACACTCATACACTCTCGCAAATCAGACAGACAAGAAAACGGAGACGGAGACTGACAGCATCAGTAACATTTACACACATGTGAACCCTCAGCACACTCCGGCTGGGCTGAGTGGGAATCAGATCTGATGACGTGGGTATGTTTTTCTAGGGAGATTCAAGAAGGAAAGCGGGAGATTTCCTCATTTCGAATGACAACAGCAAGTGACTAATGAATTAAACCGATCAAACGGAAACAGACAGACCTTTTTTGCGTTATGGAGCCGCTGCACCTTCCTCTGATCTCACCGACGCTGGTGGAGACACAAGCACATACGTCTGATCTAAATCTGGAGTTTGTGAAATCGTGAGATGAGATGAAACGTGAGCCGGTGGCTTCCCTGAATCCTTCTAAGGAAGCTTTTGAAGTCTGAAATTAAACTTTCTTGACTTGATTTGGACACATGCTCTGCACAGTCTCCAATACAAATGTCCCCAGCTGACTCTTAAACGTTTGGCTTCAGTTGGAGCTCGGACACATCCATGAATGACCCCATTTCACAAAGTTTATTAAAGGAAACCGATAGAAAAAAAACTTTTGATCATCACTTAGTGACATCATACTGCAGGCAAACGATTATCACAATGCAGAGTTGGATTAAGCAGCTAATTTTCAAAGGTCTGCAAATGCCAACGACAGAGTGTTTGGTGGCGTTCGTCTGGCTCTGAGACAGAGGCAGTGGAAGCGGTGTCTGCAGCTGATATCTGTGGCTGTGAGATTAGCGTGGTAATTAACCACAAAGCAATTATCGGTTGGTTGGATGAGAGGCACATCTCGGCGAAGGTGTTTCTTGACGTGTTTAATAGGTGTTGAGTAGTTTGATCAGTCAACACAAGTTGTTTCTGAGGCCTGCAGTCCGATGAAGCTTGATCCAGAGCTGATGCGCGCGCCAGCCGGGAAGTCAATTAATTAGACTGTTGCTCTTCCTTTCATCCACTTTTCATTAACCTCCATTGACACCTCCGCGAAGCTGGTGCGCAGGTTTACGACTGCATCGGGATTAACAAGGGAATGGGAAGTTGGCAATAAACAAAGTTGCCAGAGGAAAGAGATTTCCCTGGGAACCTCACACCCTCAGTCTACATCCACACTAATTCATATTCCTGTTAAAAACAACAACGAAAAAAGTCTAATTCTGTTGCAAAACCCTGTTTTTGATTGAACCTGTCTGCTGATACACAGGGTGCGGATTCGAGGTAATAAAAAGGCACCAGAATGAAAAATATCTACGGGAAGGAAGAAACCATGCAGGAGTCACGTTGATGTGTGTGTTATGGTGGAATTTAAACGTGTAAAGTCCAGTTGTTCTGCAGAAAGAGTGAAGACCGTGCTAAGAAATCAGCCAGCGGGTAATTTAAAACAGCTTTGGGTAAGTCCTGTTGATCAAAATAAGGAAGAGTCTCTTGGGCTTCTCTGGTGAATAGATTCAGTCAATCCATGTTATGGCCGCCCGCCCTGACCTTCCCTAAGGTTTAAACACGATACTCCCAAACTCATTCTTTCATTACTGTGGCTCTAATGAGCGAAAACCATCACAACTTTGGTCCTACCTGACTCATCGTCAGATTTGTTGTCGTTCTCGGAGTCGGTGAGGGTGAGGGCTGAGTTCTCGCGGCTGGACACTCCTGAGCTGCGGCGAGACTTCACCCCCGCGCGTCCGGCCCACAGCTGAATGGCTCTCTCTGGAGACAAGGGCCCCTCGGGGTCTGAATCGGCGTCCGAGCCGGCGCTGAGGGAGTAACCTCTCTGGAGGAGGCCCAGATCGGGACAGTAGGGAATGGCAGCGGGATGCGGAGGGGGAGTTTGCTCGCATACTCCCAACTCAGCCAGGGTGAAGTTACCCCCTGCGAGGGAGAAAGAGGAGTGAGGCAGATGGAATGAGAAGGATAATAAACAGAAGTGTTGTAAAATTAAGACACTGCACAAACAACTACTCACACACGTAAACGCACTGGTGGATCGACAAAACAAACCCACAATCACACGCAGAGAAGCCCACTAATTATGAAACTATGGAGGCGGAGGATGAAAATTGGGCTTTGTTGCGGCGGGAGGGGGAGAGATGACGCAGAATGAATCAGGCACCGAATGCAAGCTAGCTGCTGGAGGGAAGATGTACTGGCCTGCTGGCCTGTTAGGGCTGGCTTTGAAACCCTGCTTTCCTCGCTTTACTGATCCATGTTGGCTTTTACGAGCTGTTGATGCGAGATCAAAGAGATGCTCACTTGAAGCCTCTCATACTGTAGTGGAGCTGCTCTGTTGCCTCCCGGGTTTGATCATCTCCCCACCTAGTTGCACACCGGACTCCAGGCTCACTGAACGTGCCGCAGTCCGCCGCGGCAGTGGTCCCGAAGCCCAGCGAGCTTCCCCTCAAGACAAACTGGCTCGTCACGTCCAAAATAAATATATAAAATTATCCAAATTAAAGCACATCAAAGTAGATCAATAAACAGCACTGCAGCCCAATTAAATCCAAGCTGAGGGAAAAGCAATTAAGAAAAAAGGCATGCTCAACCAATTTATTCTCTATACTAATTAAAAGAGTATTGTGGATGCAGTCGCACACCATCAGCTGCTGGGGTAAAAGGATCAGGGGGAAAACAGTTGTGACTGAGTTCATTAGCAGTGTGTGAATGAGGGTAAAGGAGGGGGTACATGAAGAGAGGTTGGCATTGTATGATTCAGCGCACCGGGGACCACACAGCTGTGGTTAACGGTGACTCATCAGGATGCAATCGGAGAATGAGAGGATTCACGGAGATGAAAATCATCTCCTGGATCTTTGTGCCTCCTCTTTGCCGAGCCGCCGAAACTTCGGCGTTGTGCTGAAAGCGATGAAGTGGGAGCGGGGCTGAAAGAAAACTATGCCAGGGAAGTGGTGAAAGGCTCTACGCATCTACTCAGACAAACAGATGGACTGGACTAGAGAGCAGAGGCAAGTGAATAGCTCAACAGGTGGGTTCAGCTAATACGCTCCAGCTTGCCAAGCTTCTAAATAGTTACAGTACAAAGACACCCAAGCTCTGCGAGACTTCAGGGAATATGTCCTTGTTTTCCTTGCTTTGTTGTTTTTTCCTCCCACTTATCACAGAGGATGAAAAAAGGAAGCTTCTTTGCTACGTGACTCTAGTGATGCTACAGTATCTAACTACAGTTAACCCATACCTGAGATAAGGTATCGTAGGAGGACTGGGGAGAACTCCAGGAGGCCTGAGAGAGCAGAGAACATGACGTCTTTAAAATCAGTCAACAAAGCATCCAGAACCAAACCACACCACATTCACAGTTAGGATTAGTCTTTGTAAAAACGCTCGTCCCATCCAGCTTCATTCTCGATTAGCCCGCAAATACAGCTAGTCTACAGAAATGCTTTGTGGGCACAATTACACGTTGAGTGTGTGCTTGAATGTGTGCGCACCGTCTAACGTTAAATCCCACAGGACACTGCTCTGTACAATTAACATCCCATAACCAGTGATTACACATGTAAAATCCAATTTCTTCTTATCACCATCAGCTGTAGACACGGCCCAACATCCCATGTCCTCAAAGAGAGATGGATCAGTGCAAAGGCTCGAAGCAGACATGAAAATCTATCTTAGTTATTCCACAAATAGAAAACCAATTGCATCTTTGTTATGTGATATTATGACAGATGTGAGGACAAAATGTGGTGAGGCATTCTAATCTGATCAGCTCACGATGATCTTTACAACACTCCTGCTGCCATACTTGTGCCTGTAATGTGGATTTTAAGGCTTTGGTCAGTGGTTTATCATGTGTTATAGGCAATGGCTTCTCAGTGCAATCTGACAACGTTCAAAAGAGCATTTTCTGATGTTATGGTTGTAATTTAGGTAGATTTTTACTGTGGTGATGTTCAGGTGACTGTTAAAACCCCCTTAACCCTGGATGAAGACACCCCTGGCTTAATGTCACTATGCTGTTAAACTGGGTTGCGATTACCAGGAGCAACACAACTGCAATAAAGTACACATTTTTGTAATATCCAGAAATGGTCAGTTTTCACCTACGTATTGACCTACATGCCACCAGGTCATCTACAGACATGAATCTGCCTCTGAGCGTCTCTTGCAGGAAAAGATTCGACGCTGCATGCGTACACTCAGATTGTAAACATCCTGTCCCCATCTCAAGGTCCTTCTGTGCCAAGCCGGTCTACTTATCTAGGCCGTCCTGCACAGAAGAAAGAACTGAACTGATATTATATTGAATGAACAATGTGGTTGAATGATCAAATGTTATATGAATAATAATAATGTCTTGATTAATCTGTGCTTAAATTAATAAGGTTGATTAATCTGTGCTTGAATTACTGAAGTTGAAATGAATGTTATTATTACATTGAAAGATTTATATATACGATGATCAGTAATGTTTGATATGACAAGGCAATCATCATCTACACTCAGACATAAGGTTCATTAGAAATAAATTAAAGTTAAGTTAAGTTAAGTGTCATGACACATAATTATTTCCTTACCCACAAATCAGAGCATCCTGTATCTGAAAGAAGGCGTGATGTTCTGAGGTTTGCTTGTTAACACCACTTAACATGACACGTTCCGACTGGACAAGTAAACCATAACATGAGAATATTATCTATATCTCTCTATCTATCTATCTATCTATCTATCTATCTATCTATCTATCTATCTATCTATCTATCTATCTATCTATCTATCTATCTATCTATCTATCTATCTATCTATCTATCTATCTATCTATCTATCTATCTATCTATCTATCTATCTATCTATCTATCTATCTATCTATCTATCTATCTATCTATCTATCTATTTATAAATGTGTGTGTGTGTGTATATATATATACATATATATATAACAATTATAAACAAAATAAACCAAAGAGGGGATGAGTGAAATGTGTTCATGACACTGAAGCACCAAAAACAGTGTTCTTGATTGATACGCAGTAAACATAACAAAATACAGTTTTTCTCAGTCGCTTTGGTGCGTTTCTCAGAACACTATTAACATTTGCACAGCAGTTAGTGCATTTCTCAAAACAATTAGTGGAAACTGCAAAACCTAGTGGACAGCCTGCAAAAGCACGTCACATGCTCAAAAATGATTATCCATTCATCAAAAGCAAGTATTCATGTCAATGAAACTGTCAGTGCCATCAAAATGAAAAGTCTTGACACCATCTCTATGAACAAGATCGTCACATGGCTTTGTCATGTTTTCACTATGACAGTTTATGATTTCAGTGTTTTCCTTTGCAAGAATATTTGGTGACACCTGAAAATGCTCAAGACAGCACTATGCCCTACTTGTACAGCCATTTGAAATGTGCAGTAAAGTTTCTGTAGATGTTATGGGAGTTTGGGGAGTAACTGAGACACTGAATACGTACGTTTTACATTTTTACAGTATAGAAGTGTTTGTAATTCTACAGCATTGTGCAAAAGAAAAATATGCTACAGTCACTTGTTTACTGAAGAATACATGTAAACATAAAATCACCCTTTTGGTAGAGCTGTGCACAAATGTGAACAATATACAGTACATGTAACAGTACATACAGTATTGCAGAGTACTGTAACATACAGGTACAGTAAATCATTCTGGCACATCCAGACGTTTCTGTCTGTCTGGCCACATTTTCATCTACATCACAATGGATGTCATCCCTCGCAATGCAGCGAGGAAAGTATCTCCTGGAGTGGAGAAGTATACAGAAGTATACAAATGGTACACACTAGCTCCTGCTCAGTTCATATATGCTTGCCAATTGAGGATTCACCTCCTCATGAGTGACAGATGAAATTCACCTGTGATCAATTGTTCAATTTAGGAGACATTTCCAGAATAAAATGATAAAGAAAGGTATAGAATTTGCTTGACAGATGACTGATATTTGACATTTGATAACTAGTTCAACAATTTTGTGTGTAATGACTCAAGCAATGAAAGTAAGACTATTAGTTTTATTGAGAATGACTATTCAGCATCCATAAGTATAATTCATTTTGACTGACATGACATAAGCAAATGGAAATGTCAAAAAACAGCAGAGAAATGTATGAAAGCAACTGATACATGTCCAGAATCATTTGCAGTTTGTTCTGAGAAAGGAGAAATTGCTACTATGATGTCCACAAATGACTAAATGTTGTGGAGGTTTATCTAATAGTTATGAGAATTTTAATTCTGATCTGAGAAACGCACCAAAGCGACTGAGAAAAACTGTACCAATAAATTAATAAATATTATGTATATATACATCCATAGTTATATATGTCTACATAGGAATATGTATATATGTATCATAAACAATAACAACACTAAGAAAATAAGACAAATCTTGAAAAAAAATCTGCAAATGTGATGCAATCCAATATGGCTGCTACCTGATGACGTCATAATATGCAAATTACGTGAATGAATTTGTTCCTATCACAAAATTTGGCTCATACTGAAGAATTTTCTAATTTACAATATTCATCTATCTCTAACCAGATTTAAGCTACACGCTCTTTAAATAGTGATATAAAAAATTCATATTTTACTGAAAAAACTATGGCGCCTAAAGGGTAAATAAATCAAAGAACTCTATTTTTAATAAAGCTAATCAAACAAAGTGTTAGTCAATAATACAATGTTGACCAATCTGGGAAATGACAATGTTATGATTAGTATGCTTTAATAATATGACTTTAATCTAGCTGCACTAGACATGCTGATCACACGTAATGTAAACGCATGACACATTGCTTTCACTGATCCAATCAGAACCTTCCTTTCTGAAGCGTGGCATAGTCTCTGTGGTGTTTATAAATCTGCCAACTTTGATTCGACCAGAAATCAAAACATCCAGATCAATAAAACAGTCCCCACGCCATCTTAGTTCAGTTCTCTGAGTTCTCTACAGTTCAGTGCAGTTCATCGCATTCTAAGAGAAGTATCGGACCGGCCATCCGAACTTCCTTTTTAAGCAAAGAACCAACAAGCTGGATAAAATCTGTTGCATTTTACCAACCAAGCAATGGTTCCTTTCAGAATAAAAGCTGAACTCACTGACCCTCTGGGTCCATGTGACGCTGTCAGCCAACTGTCGCTTTTTACCTGGAGACAATCCAAAGACTAGTCTGTCGTACTGCTGACGCTGTTTCATCGGCTCCAGTACCGAAAGGGGGGTTCGAGGACCTGGCAGTCTGGATCTGTATGGAGGTCTCATCCTAAGGGTATGTGTGGAGCGACAAATGGCATCTTATGTGTTTATGAAACTCCGATCATAGCTTAAGAGCAAAACATCACAACATCACTCAGACTTGCTTCTCCAGATACGAGAGTTCTGATGACAACATCACTCACAAACACACCATTCATCTCACGTCTCATTCACACCAAGATCCATTCATCACTTAGAATTTAGAGTTAGTCTTGTTTAAAATTGTTTTAGAAATAAATCTTCTTAAACGTTTTAAAGGTGACTCTCTCTTCTCTTGTCTCTCAGTTAATACAAGTGTTACATAATCCCTGCAATAAAAAGTTCCAATATTCTGGTTAAAAGTACCCAAAGATCCATAAAATTGATTTCATATTTACTATGGAATCTTATGCCTTATGGTTCGTTGAATAAATGTAAATTAACCCTTTACACACCATAACAGCCAGGGTCCAGTGAAAGACAAGTTAGTGCTTACTGAAAAGGGATTTGCTGCTGTGTCTTCACCATGCTTTCGCTAAGCTGCACGGTGCTGTGGATAATCCTACCAAACATACCTACAATAGCACCATATTCCCTCCCTTATCTCACAGTCTGGCCCCATATCTTGGCTCAACTGCTCCAAAAGCTTGCAGCTACACACTAAATGATCAGATAAATCTAGTACATCCCTGATGGAGTTATGGGTCATAGCATTGGCATGAGGCTAGCATTACTGGCCTGGCTTCAAATGGATGAACACCAAGCTACCCACACTTACTTGCAGGAAATCATGGATACCGCCCTCCACCACGTTCCACCCAGGACCCTGATATGCTAATACCACTATGACAAAAAGCCACAAAGCTGAGTGTCAAGTGGGGGAGGCATAGGGTCCCATTATTAAGGTTTTTGGTATGATCCAACCGTGGATTTGATAACTGATCTCCAGTCTGAGGGCAAAAACTCAAACCACTAGGCCAATGAGAAGGTTGACAAATGACCAATGACCAAC